GGTATGAGACCAACTGTCTTACTCTTCTTTATGTAGGCTGGAAGAATGCTGAAATTACGCATCAGCTACAAGAGCGTGAACGGCGCATACAGAATCACTTGGAGCTAGCAGCCAGGGGTAAATAACTCTTTCAGGCTAAATTCTGTCACTGTTTCTTCCTTTCCTTTGTTCATTGAGATTCTCTTCTTCCCCCAGGTCCCTTACGACAGACTTTTACCCACGACCCTCTGCTACAGCATGGAAAAAATCCCTCTCCCAACACCCCTAACAGCAGCGGCAACAAACCAAAGTCAAAGCAGCCCTGGCGTGACACACTTGGCTGAATTCTGTTCCTGCTCATACTGGCAGGAACTCTCTTCAGAGACTCAGCCTGAGAACGAGATTTGATGCTGGCTCCTTGCCCCAGACCTAGGAACTGTGGGACATGGAAATGTTTGTTTTCAAAGTGGATTCTACTACAGACTCTCATATTTAACGTATAAGACCACTGGGGAGCCAAGTGATCTTCCCTTCCTCAGAATTAGTAAACCTCTGTACTGTATGCTGCTTCCTGATATTTATTAAATGGGAGATGGATAATGTGCTTCAGAAAACTGAAGAATAGATTGATGATTACTCTTGCAGGCCCATGCTCTTAGGGAGTATTTCAATGTAGTAACCTGGCATTAAAGAGCTTAGACCACCCCTCCACCCCATAGATGTGCTGTTCTAGCCACATTTGCATTGCAGTCATAGAGGTATGCCTGATAATATGAGATTGTATCTAAATAGAGTAACCATGTTTATTTACACCAAGATTACCTATAAAATACACTCCAAGAAGTAGGTATGCTGAAATTCTTAGTGGTAATTAAGAGGAATGGAAGTTGATTTAGTTTTTATCTAACATTTTGCTGCAGCAGCTTAGGTGTTTTCTTGTGTAGAGACTGCATCAGCCATCACCAACTGGCTTGAGAGGGAAGAAATATTCAGACACTTTCAAGCATAAGATTGTTTTTAGTCTTCCTGCCAGGCTAATAGGAACTGTCCCAGAGACACTATATAAAATGAAGCTGCTCAAAGCTTAGCTTAGGAACACAACCCTTTTATTGTCCAGCACCTATAGTATGTCTCTCTAAAGGAGACAGTTTGGAGCATTGGTGGCCCTTTTAAAGGAAAGGAGGAGTTAGGTAGGCACACCCAGAGGTGCGTGAATATCTTAACACACGTTAATGTGCTACTAGAACAACCAAGCCCACACCTGACATACTCCCACCACAGTCTGCTTTATCATCCCCTTAAAAAAAATCTGGAAAAATAATCTAGCAAAACAAATAAATTAACTGTCCATCTCTCAAAAAGCAACTTCCAAGGTTTTGAAGCTGCCAAGACCAGGCTTCCAGACGGGTGCCTCCAAAGAAGTGAGCTTTCCTTTTCAGCTTCCTTGACTGCAGCCAGTAGGAAACAAGAAGCCCCTCCTTTTCACATCTCAGGATTCTGGGTGTTACTTAGTTAGATTTAGGATCTTGTTGCTTGGGTATCTCTCCATCTTCCAAATCCATCTCTGCAGCAACTGACATACACAGGACCTGGAGGTACCATGTGGTAGATGCTACAAAGAGAAGTTTGAGTCAAAACTGAGAAGAGGTGAACTGGGCTGAGTTCAAGTGCACTGAATGGGATTGAACCTGAGGTGATGATTTGGTTAAGCCTTAGGCTTAACAATTAGAAGAGGTTATGGCAGAGGTAACGTGGGAGAGGATGTGCAGAAAAGGCAAAAAAAAAAAAAGACAGGTTGTACATTAGCTGAGCCAACTTGAGCCAAGGCCTACTTACCCACAATTCTTCGGAGGCAATGAGGTCGTTTGTGTTCTGGCACTCTGATGATGAGGAAGTAAAAGGGCAAGCCTGAGAGGGCAATGGCAATGCCGATGAGGGAGTTGATGGTATCACTATAAAGTGGAACTGCCACCAGGAAGATGGTGCAGAGGCAGAAGACAATGGGGAAGAAAAGGCTGAGCTAAGGGCACAGAAAAAAACAACTAGAAGTTAGCTCAGGACTGACAGCCAAAATAACCCCACCTTCTGTGAAGATCAGAGCACTGAGCCACCTTTCCATCCCCTTCATCTCAGCACACTACCACCAGCAAGTCCTAGACAAAGGGTTCTGAATAAACTGTCTTATAAGAATCCCCAGAACAGAGGTAGGATGGAGGTGAGTTACCTTGAGAGAACGAGGCCTGTCAGGCTCCTTCCAGCGCAGATAAAGTTGACCCACAATCGAGAGCCCCACAAAGAACCAGTAGCTGAAACTGTAGTAGTTAATGAGCTGGAAGATGTCCTCCACACACAAGTAGACCAGCGCCATGACACCCTGTAAGCGCAAGCCCAAGTCAGCACCTCTCATGGCCTTTGTTACTCAAGGCACTTAACTCCCCTTTACCTCCCAGAAATCCATCCCTTCGTCAAGTCCTCGGTCTCCCCATCTGACCTTTTCTGTTCCCATCCTAGCACCCTATTTCAATACCTTATTTTCTATTAAGTCAGTAGCCTCTCAATTGGTTTTTCAGCCCATTCTTCAAGCCTTTGCCAAGTTAATGTCCTATAAAGCACAGCTCAAAACAACAACTCAAAAATCTTTTGCTTAAGAGCCTCCCCATAATTGCTCCAACCTTTATTTCCAGCTTCTCTCCTACCCAACTCCACACTACTTTACCTCAGAACTTTCCGATGCTGTTTCTTTTAACATAAAACCCGTCTCTACCATTTGCAACCCTAACCTTAAGAATCTACTTCAGGGGCCGGCCAAGTGGTGCAATGGTTAAGAGCTGGCTTGGGACCCCAGAGGGCCCCGGTTCGGATCCCACATATGAGGGCCAGTGACACTGCCCTCCACAGCTAAGATGCTGAACAACAGCTCAACCTGGAGCTGGG